GTTTCGTCTGACCAAAATCAGACTTCTTCAGACAAGCAGTTTACAACAATAGACATTGGTTCTTTTCTTGTGATTGTTGTAAACTGCTTATGGTTCTTTTATTCCTGCTACAGCATTCTTGCATTATACGCATACGAATCCACTAGCGCAAAGGCATTGAGAAAGGATTGGAAGGTAGTCTCGCGCAACCTCTACTGATAGTTCTGTTGCTACCGTTGTAAAAATAGCGAGGTCATCTATGCAACCAAATATATCAGTTGTGGTCATAAATACATCGATTGTTTTGAAATTCGAAGAATAAATACAAATCCTCTTAAAATGTTTGAAACCAAAATACAGCAAAGATAAGAGTATTCGTGTCATCAATAAGATGTCAATCATCAACGTATACTATTCCCGGCGCTAAATAAAAATATGTGTACCAATATGAAGGTAACTAATTTTGTTCGTCTATTCTACATCAAGTTGTGTAAAGGGACTGAGACCTATGGGCAGGGGTATATTCACTTGGCTAACATAAACAGTCCCCGAACTCGTAATAGAACTAAAATCGGGATAAAATTATGGAAGATCTAGGACGCAATCATTAATTAGTAGGTACTTCCAATATTTGTTTTTGAGTGGGGGGGGGGTCTAAATCTTTTTGTTATACCGCAAAAAGATGCTATTGTTAAAAAGTGCGGCGTTGTTAACACTTCCAGCTTGTGAAAACGAATCATTTTAACTAACTAGGGAGTTACTTTTTTTTGTGTGTGTTAGGTAGGGGATGATCGATATCGGCATCTGTTTGCTGTACCGTAAGGCGATGGGCATGGGGCGTTGTTAACGTTTCCAACTTGTGGGAACGAATCAGATTAGTGAACACTCAATTTATACGTATGTACAAATAAATATTAAACTCTGGATGAATTCCAAATTATTCAAACTCAATTTATGGGATTCTAAAAGTGATTTATTTCCAAGTTGTTTTGACCGAAATTTATTTTCGTTCTAAGAATTTGGAATATAAGGAAAATTTGATACGTTAGGAATCGGAAATCACGAGATATGAACGCACGAAAACATATATTATCTGTAAAATGACACCAAGATGTGGATTCAATTTATATATGTAAGTATGTTTATTGGCCTCATAAATGTAACAGTATCTGCATAATAAATAGTATAGAATGTCCGTGAAGTCTTTTTTAAAAGAGCAAAGAGAATTTATAGATACCATTTATTGTTTTGGTTCTCACAGATGTATTATATGAAGTAAAAATACTTGAACAATCACTGATTAAAAAACAACAAGATATATACGATTGTGATATATTGAGAACTGACTTCACAATAAAATTGGATTTGTTGCGGTACTTTATGGACACCCTGTATAAATGTGTATAAGATTCGTTTAGCAGACATATTCGTTAAAAGACGTACACTCTATGATCGTATATAAGGATATTAAAACAAGTAACTTTTTCCTTCGGTCGAATCGACCGCAACTCCGCGCTGCTTGAAGAATTCAAATAGTAACCTATTCCCATATCCAACTTCACAACTGGTGAAGGAACGGGACAGTGGCCCGCATTATTGCCAAGTCGTATTAATCTCCTTCCTCACTCAGAGTGTATAAAATTGGGCTACGCGAAAAGGCGAATTAACATTAACATTTCTCAATATGGTAATGGTTTCATATCCAAAGAGTTATTCCGAGCAAAAAATATATTAAAACACATACATTATGTGCATGTTTATAAAATATACATTTCATAGGATATCTACGATATATGAACATAAATGCATCGGAAGCTTTGGTATGGAATCAAATGTTTTCTTAACATGAATATATTGATTTCACGCATTTCATGTTCAGATCACGATCCGGCATAATGCCAAAGTTTTAGAATTTCTCAGATAAAATCTCATGCGGAAATATGACCAAAAAGAGCAATGAATGGCAACTTTACAATCATAAACATACGCACTGCACCGAGGTCTCCCTTACCTAATCTATCAGAAAGGGAACACGCTTTGTGACACAAATCTTCACAAAACAAATTTATGTTTCTCACATAAACGAAGTGAAGGAATTTGGCAAAAACGAAAGAAAAACGATCGAATATATGGATTTGGTTCCTAATACCACCATAAACATGTGAAATTCGTTGAGCACTCACTCCCGAAATTCACCAGAAGAGAACTTCACAGCGGCACGAATTTTCACAAAATAGTAGTATTTGATAGGAAAATTTTTTGGGAAATTTTGGTTATAGCGTCCAACCATAGAATTTATTTTGTCATTCATTCATCGAAAACCATTCTCTCAACTAAAGATCAACAATCATGGAATTATCGCATTTAATCTGGATATACTCAGTGTGTATGAGTGTATGAAGTGTGTGAAGTGAGTGTATGAAGTTAGGTGAACTGCGCCAAAAAGCGAAGCTATTTTATTTTAATTCAAACAATTAGCTCAAGGATGTATTTTTCAAAACTAGAGGGCCTAGTGGCGACCAAACAAACTTGACCTAGTGGCGAGACAACAAATACACTTTTGAAAGACACTTTTAGATTGAATTGTAAATTTTGATGCGATTGGTTCAGTAGAAACAGTAAAAACGTGATTTTTTTTTTCTATGAATTGCGTCCAACACTAGAATAAATGTCAGACACTAACATTATTTAAACTAAATATCATCAACAGAGATTTGGATTCAACCGTGAAATTCTTGCATTTAATCTGAAAGTAGCTATTTTTGTTCTCCTAATCTCCGGATACATAGACAAACCAACAAAAGATCTTTTATCATGTTTTGTTCATAAAACATATAAAATGAGCTCGAGGGTATGAACAAACAACACTGTTGAATATTTTTGCGTTGCGGCATTCGGAAAGATATATTTGTCAAATTTTTGTTTTTCGGAAAATTGGTACACTCGCCAGTAATCCCATTCCAACAATGACGTAAGAAATCCGTAAGGATTAAACCAAAAACTGCATTATTTAGGTCATTTTAAAAGCTTACGCTCTTACATAAAAGAGACTTCCTAGTTAAATACGTTTCGAATCTGCAATTTATACCTGAATTTTCGAATACCAGCAATGACGTTAAAATATTCGAAAAATTATCAGTTCTTTTCAAAACAGAAGTGTTTTTTATGAAAGGCTGCTTGGTTGAATAGTTTGAGCTCATCATTTCAACGTGTGTATATAGTGCCCTTTCAAAGAGAAGATGTCTTGAACGCAAATTCACAAGAAGAAATGATGCTTAAATGCTATTACAAGTCTTATTACAAAAACTTTGGCGCTAAACCTTTTATCACTTGGGAAGATATCCTCATATCCCCATTGGATATGAAAGTATGATTCCCCTGTGTATCAGTGTTGTGAGTGTTATTTAGTTCGAAGCGGTGGTCCTTACTGTGTTTCCCCCGAAAATAAGACCTAGTGTGAAAATAAGACATAGCTTGAATTTTAAAAATGATTTTAATATCAGCCCTCCCCTCAAAATACGACCAAATCGTTAGCGCGATTTTTTTCGACCTATTCATGAAATCTCTCCTGCACGTTTTGAATGATTAATAATCTATGATTAGCAGTTATTTAACATAAAATTATTTATGAGTAAATGCATGTCAGTTTTCATATTTTGTATATTTGAATATCTCGTAATTCTCTACTCTATGACTTCTTCATAATCGGCAAGAAATATAATTGAGAAAACGACCCATACATACTTCGTGTGCAATAACATTGAATATTTATTCTGTTCAAAAAAACAACCCGGCGCAGAATTAATAACTCGTAAACACAATCCGCTAAGCAAATTGGTAACTAGATGATTAATCTCTTGTGAGTGAACTTCTAATAATTATACAAAACGGGATTATCCATAATTAGGGGATGATTATACATAGATTACCGATGTACTGATTTGTTAGGAGGGTGATTACTTAGTTAAAATGTTCATTCTAAAATCGGGAACATGGTTTCACCAAAGTAACGTTTATAATAAGCTTTATGTAAATACATTGAACATTCAGCAAAGCGTATTATATATTGTAACATATTCTATACAGAAGTAATTAATTAGTATGTATGGGGAGCATTAAGCGCCACAAGAATCTGACCAGCTGCCCACAAGCTCAAAAGTTTTTTTTGAAGCCATTCAATAGGACTGGGCTACTCAACTATTTTTATCGAAGGTCCGCAAACAAAACTTCAAAATTATTTGTGTCCGGTCTTTCCAGAAATGATATTTCGGCATCCTTAAACGAGCACTTCCTCGACTGACTAATGATTAGTAGCAAATTAAAATTGTTTATTATGGTGTTATAGTTTTTTTCGTATATATTCAAAACTATGAAAGTCATTTGATAATAAGAAATTCAAAAAGTGGGGCTAATGATCCGAAATAAATAGTTAGGTGCGGTCCAAATCCAATACTCGAAAGGTCCGGATTCGGACCGCGGTCCGCCAGTTGAGTAGCCCTGCAATAGGATATTGGCAGGGCGTAGACAAGGGGGATTTAGGGTAGGAACCGACTCCCCTCCCTCCTTTTGAAATGTCAAAAAAAAAAATTCTGTCTCATACATAGCAATTTTCGTAACATGAAACGCTTTCTTGATGATCCTGGAGACTTTTTAAAACCCACGTTAGGTCCACTAGCTGTTACGGTCTAACTCGGCAATCAGAAATTTTAGAACCCCCTAATCCCGGGTAGATGAAATCAAATTTCTTCGGCTTCGGGTAACAAGATACGATTCCAACGAAAAAAACGCCAACTCAAACCTCTCAAACAGGCTGTCCGCGAGCCACAATCCGGCCCGCCAATACATTAGTATGGCCCTTTTCAACACTTAGATTTTCCCCATCAAGCAGAAAAAAACCGACTCCGATTATGTTTAAAAAAGCGCTCGTATAGCTAAAAATACATAATCTTAGATGTCTGAAGTTGGATATATGGCCCACTGACACAATATGTTGCACACCCCTGAAATGAATTAATTCTTACCTTATCACAGATGAAACGAATGTCTTTTTTCTTGACCCGCACTGATGACAACACAGGGATAAATGATGCCACACACCAAGCGGTTACTAGGTTTCTTTGACTTCAATGATTTTGGTTCGTCTCATAGAAGCACTTTCTTCCTAATTACAGTTCACGTTATAGTACAAACAAATTCAGTTACTAAAATTATACGATTACGGTTCCGCAGTTGCTGATTAAATCTGAATTACATAAAGAATACAAAGCAAATTTTTAGTTCCGTTCGATACAAAATGCCCGCATTTCACCTGGCTCCACTTCAAAGTTTAGTAGGAGGAAGTAGTATTTATGCTTCTATTAGCTATAGCATGGTGGCGTTTTGTGGGAGGGTTTTGTGATAAAGTTGACTTGTGGAAACTAAGAGTGCATGGTACTGACATTACAAGAAAATCGAAACTTGTCCTCTTCATGAAAATTTACTCGAAGCAGGGTCTTGATGAAAGACTGTGCTGATGCAAGCGACCACTGTATATAGATTCTCGCTCAATGTGACGAATTGAAATATACATTAATCCATATAAAAAGAAATCATGTATTCCTAATCAATAAATTTCCCAAATACTTTAAAAAGAATTCATTTTAAATTTGAACGTCTTTTTCTGCCGGATTGTACCCAAAAGTTTCAATAATCTAGGACGCTTTGCACTAAAGTCGTGTTTATTTAAGAATATGTTCCAAATCATCTCCTAGGCAAAGAAAAAAGACTGTCAATTACTCAATCACCTTTCTGATGCCTGGGTATCTCAATAGCAAAAATATTATTTACCTGGGTACAAAACCTCCGAAAAAAGTCTTACAGAGAATGTTACACTAGATGTTAGCAATAATTAAGATTTCTCTAGAATAGATTCCAAAAAGATCTGTTTGTAGTCACCTCGTATATCATTAAAATTCACTTTTATGCAGTTCTTTTTTTTTCGCGCCAGCGACGCTTGCAACTCCCCTATCAGTATCTTTCTGCTTTTAGTTAAGAGCCTTACTTTTTCATGTTTATACATACTTGTAGTTCACTGAACTAACTGATACCTCTATCTATACTTAACCTCTGTATAGAAGTCATTCAAAACATTTATGCCCAACCCGTCTTAAGTATTTCAAATAATGCTAGTAGTACAATAGACAACAAACATATCAACGACCGGGCGTAACTTACTTCACGCCCTCCAGCACTCGTTACATATTCTAACACAAATATTTGTAACATAGTATGACCTTGGGCATCGTCTTCAAGGACGAATATTTTATTATCCGTCTGACCTTGAAGAGTAATAAAGCATTGCTAATTTATTTAATATTGATCATTAAAAGATTTTACAATCCAATGAATATTAAGATATTGAACCATAAAAAATTTATAGCAGGATGGATTTATATTTGGACGATGAGAGGCCCACATCCCTCTCTTTACCAATGAGAGGCCTCTCTTTAACAATGATGTCATACGACTAATGACGCCATAATAGATTTTTGGAAAAAGTTTTTCGTGGAATGTTTAATCAGGTAATATTTTTTTACGAGATGTGTCTGAACATTCTATTCGAATTTAGTAAATCGAGTAGCAATAAAAATTGAATAAAACAAAACAAAAAATTTTTATATTATAATGAGTTTTATTGACACAATTATTTTTTTGGGATTAAGTTATACCAAACACATCGTCAAAGTTATTCAACTGTTAAATCTTGAAATTGATTACGAAGTTTCAGACTCAAAAACCAATACGCGACAATTCTACTTGGAGCGCGCATACATCCAATAAAACATTTTTAGTACGGATCCTCAATTTAACTCAATCGAGATAGTTTCGTTCACACTAAAGTTAACTTTCACTACCTCCCTGTTATACCTATACCTATATATACTTTACAGTATATTACTTTGTAAGCCCTTTTTAGAGTTTGTCAAGTTTAGCGCACCACCTCAAAAATTACTAGCTCACAATAAGCTACAAATAACAGATAAGGCGAAAGTATGTTTTATTCAAAAAAAACTTTGAAAATACGTGGACGAAATCACAATCTCTAAACAATGACGAAAATTAAATGATAAAAAATGGCTGGCAAGATCAAATCTGACAAATAATTATTATTTGGGTTCACATCCTTTAAAAAGTGTTTACGCCTCCTATTTGGGGCGCGCCCCAACGTTTGATAACTGATGATCTATATATTTTTAGCTCATTCTGTACCTAACTCCGTAAAAAAGCATTGATGTGTAAACCTATTTCAAGTTAATAAAAGTAAATGAAACGGTGAATTGCAAGTTGCTCTATTCGCGCTTATAATGATGAACAGGAAAGAAGTGAAATCTCGAGTTTTAAGCGTATTTTATACATTCAATCAACTAATCCTATCCTCGAGACTTTTTTTTATTTTTTTTATATTTCAACACTTCAGTTATTTGTTAAAAATGACTTTAAAAAGATGGAATTTCGAATATGTGTCAAAACAAATTAATATAAATTCCATGACGTCTTAAAATTGGGAATACGAAGTATTTACGACAAAAATGTGGTACAAACCAAAAAACAACACATGAATGATCTCAATACCACGCTGCAAAGTTGGAAGTTGAATTTCATAGTTTTAATATTATCAATTGTATGGTTTTGTTAAAAACCTAAAAAGTCCAATACCAATTTAGGTTTCGAGAACGCAGTTTTCCAATTTTTCATCGAAAATATAACCACCACACAAAAACTACTCAAACCAAGAAAAACATTTCATCCTTGAGCCGTATCGTAATGACGTAAATTTTTTGTCCACATTTTTACACTATTGTTGAATAAATGACTACTCAGCGTTAATATTTCAAATATGTGTCAAAAATTTTATTCTTAAATTTTCATTATTATTGTTTATCCTAAATTTTGAAAAATAAACAAAAAGAATCATCGGCGCGCTAGAAGTTTGTGTACCAACATGGAGGTAACTAATTTTGTTGTATAAATGGACTGAAACCTATGGGCAGGGGTTATATTCACTTGGCTAACACAGACAATCTTCGAACTCGTAATAGAACTAAAATAAGGGAAATCAGAATAAAATTATGGCCTAACCCTAACCTGGTACTACGAGAGTACCAAATTAACAATACAGAAAAACAAAAAGAGCAATTTTTCGGATGAAATACGAACACTAAGCAAATATATTTTTTTCTTCAATTTTGAAAAGAGATACTTCTTCAATGAAATTAATATTTAATTTTTAATTATTTGACCGAATTTACAATTTGACTGAATAAACTGATAGACAACTTATCGTAGGAAACGCAAATATGTTACGTGAAATATTCTGTAATATTTAAAAGGGGATTAAATTTAAAACAAAACAAATTATATATTATTACTATTTCCTATTATTAATATTTATACAAAGATAGTAAACTATTTAAAAACAAATTGAAGACGTAAAATATTTCATTTCATTTAAGAAATTTAATCACAATTTTTAATTATGTTTACTTATCTCAACTTAGTGAAACGTATAATAGACAATAAAATCTATAATTTTGAAAAGGAGATAAATTCATGGGTTCCGTTTAGTCACAACAATGTTTTAATATTTTTATTTATACTATCGTAGACAACTATAACAAAAAAAGTCTAAGAAAAAAACACACTTTGTTGAAGAAAAAGTATATATTAGACGTAAAAAAATTTAATATTTCGAAATGAAGATTAATTCGTGCGTTCCATTTATTCTCAATAGTTTATTGAAAAAACGAACTTTGAGAAAAAGCGTGAATATGAGACAAAAAATATTCTATAATTTCGGGAGATTAATTCGTGAGTTCCGTGATCATTAATCCCCCAAAATATTCACGAAATATTTTCTCATCATTCGTGTTTTATCTAAAATATAATCTATTATACTTTCGGACGATGACCGGAAGAAAATAACTATTAGCGACGATGACGCGATTGAGTATCGAATCAACAATTTTCCAGAATCAGAATCTGGTGATCACTGGTGAAAGCTTTTAGTCTTTATTGGGTAATATACATTCTTATGAATTTTTCGGTACTCCCGTAGTATGTGAACCAGGTTAGGGTCAGGTCGTAATTTCATTCCGATTTTCCTTATTTTAGTTCTATTACGAATTAGGGGACTGTCTGTATTAGTCAAGTGAATGTACACCCTGCCCATAGACTTCACTTCCTTTACACAACTTGAAGAAGGCAAAAAAATTAGTTACGTCCATATTGGTACACACACTACTGGAGCGCCTCTATAAGAAAGCGTCTATGGATTTCAACCCCATTATAAGTACGTGTCATATTTCGTAATTTCGGATTCGTAATTTATAATCGATTTTGTAAAGCCTGTGTATAGGGTGGCAAGCACGGCATTTTTGCTGGATAGCAACCAAACGGAATTCTCTAACCGTTATGGAAACTAAAATTTTGAAGCCAACGCCTTATGGACCCATATATTAGTAATTAACACCGAAAAAGTATACACAATGACTATAGTGAGAATACCATCTGTCTGGATATGAATCTGAACTGTTTTAGAAGTTTCCAGACTTTCAAATTTCCAGAGCTGCTGACAAAATCTAGTATTTTAATTCCGCCATAGTAGAACATTGATAAGTTTCTCAACTCACATTACAATAAACGTTTTCATTTTAACAGCAGATTTTGTTCAGACGTTCCTTCCTCGTTCTTATGCCTCGAGATACCCAAATACTTTTTCCATAAAACTCTCTGAATATTCTCTCTGGTCTACAATAACATTCAGTATTTGTAGAATTTTCAAAGATACTCATAAAGGTATTTGTATAATAGCTGCCGAATGAAGAAATTGTAATAAATTCTTTCGTTTAAAAAAATCTATAGCCTGGAACTACTACATTGAAGTAGCCTCTTAAAGCATGCTTAACACACTGACTCATAAACTCAATAAACAATCACGATCGAAAAATATTTTTCGGCCTCTGGAACAGCGGTAATAATTCCAGCAAAACCGAAATTTTAGAAGAAAACAAATATTTGTTTCGTCACAAATAGAGACTACCTGCGGACGACTTCCTTCCTGCTTATTGTGTGATCACAATCTACCTTGTCGATTGTGAGGTCATACATATTTCATAGAGATATGCATACGTTATTGCCCGCAGGCGAAATATAGGAAATTGAGGTTTCCCGTTGTTTTTGCATGGCGAGTAGATAATTCGAAGA